CCACTGAGGGTTAAATGGAATGCTCTGCACTTCACGGCTGGGGTGGCGCCCCTCAGGCTCATATGAGTTTTGTAAGCATTGAGGTGCTTTTCTGGGTCACCTCTTCCATCATACTTTGGTATTTTTGGCATGACATAATGGCTCGGGACCTGGGCATTTCTTAATTCTCTTGAGAATGGCAGGTTCTCATCATCATTGTCCAAGTCACAAGACCTCTATTGCTCATCAGAATCGTAGTCTTCGGCCTCGTACCTCAGTTGTTGGTGAGAGGGTCAGGGCCAGTTCCTAGCCTCTTCCTCCCTCCTTTGCGGCCTACTTCTAGGCGGGACAGCGCGGGGGGCATTTTCATGCCTTCTCTCCGGCTGTTGGGGCATCGGAGGTGGAGGCTGTGGCCTCGTCCGAGGCTGCTGAGCCTACTGTTGACTGGGCCTCGGTTCGGCAGGGCTAATTCTGTCAAAAACACTTCCTGCTCTCCTATGTCTTGGGTCTTGCTCATATGGAGGTGGAAAGTTATCATGGCTCGTTTGGACCTCGGTGGGTCGGCCAGATGCATAGTTGGAGGAAATGTTGACTCCCACTTCCCTCTCGAATGGGCTTTCACCTCGGCCATAGTTTGGCGAGGCAGCCCTATGACTCTGGACCTCGTCCTCTTGCTGATAGTGCCCGTGGGGGGCATATGAAGGAATGGGGAAGCCTTCCTAGCCTTGCATTTGGGCCATGAGCTCCCTCATGGCCAAGTTTTGGTTGGCTATATCCCTCATGTTGGCTGCCATGGTAGCCATTTCTCTTGATAGTCGTGCTGTCGCACGCATCCCACCTCTCCTTTGGTGGTGGTGGAGCCTCGGCCGAGCTGCTGGGACAGCAGGCTGGGGAGGCACATTCGTGCTTTCTCTTACCCTCCTTGGGGGAGTATCTTCGTTAGAACTCATTTTTCTTTTATCAAACTTAGATTTCTCTAAGTGATAGGGGTTCCTCCTATTCTTTTTCAAGAACAAATCATTTTTCAAGGGGGTTGCCCAAATGTTTTTCAGTAAGCTTCTACGACAAGGTTGCTCGTGGTTATGGTATGGTTTCCCACAGACGGCGTCAATCTGTTGACCCCAAAAAGTGCGCCAACAGATGTCGGTCCCGCCCACGCTTGCGTGGGCGAATGTCCAACACGCTAAGACACGTGGACGGTCTAAAACGAACGGTTCAAAGGGGCGTGGGAGTAGCCCAACGACGCGGGACGGTGACGTTCGGAATCCGGCGGGTTGTTCGTAATCCGGTTGTACAATAATTACCAATCGGTGCTCGTAAATGTATATGTAAAAGTGTATAAACTCGATTTGTGTATTGCAAGTAAATGAGAGAGAGTTGAGTAAACGTAGTCTTTAGTATTGATTCTTGCATTAGCTTTTGACATTACACAATGGAAGTATTTATAGTGATACATATGAAATGGGAGCCCTTGGATGAAATGGCACGTGGCCTCATCTCTTTAATTCAAACGTCTTTTCTTAGGTATGGGGCTTGACTTGCTAGCTTACGGCGCATTTATTGCTTGTGCAAGTCCTCCATACTAGTGACAAGACTTGACCTTTATGCTTGTGACAAACGTTCTATCAGTCATTCGAATAAGATCTCTGAGCAGGCGATCTCTTGGAAGAAGTGACTATGGAGGAAGCTCCTTGTGGTTAGGAGGCTCGTGCATCAGCTTCAGGGCTTCGACCATTTGACAAATACTTCCAGTTGGGGACCTCAGTTACATTCAACATGTTCCATGCTTCGGATCATGGGCCTCAGTAGTTGGACTTCGACAGACTCGCGTACATCGGATCGAGGAGTCTCGACAGATGGACCTCGACTTGAAGCACTTCGGATATAACCCACCTCGACAATGTGTGCCGCCTCCGCAGGAATGCTACGTGGATCAGGATGAGTGGGCCATTGGCCCAGGTGGATAGGACAGGTGTGACAACACGCAACATATATTTTTTTAAGAAATTGAAGAATCGTAGACGATGCTTCTTAAAAAATTAAGACCATATTGTAACAAAGAAAACAATACGTTTGAAAATAATAGAGCGGATTTCAACTAACATTGATTAGGTGACTATTATATTTTGTACGTAGGAAGTGAGTTGATGGAGCGGAGCGGACAGAGGGACGGACCGACTGATCAGACCCCTAATGAAATCAATTGGCCCATTAGGTTAGATGCAAATAAGATGGGGGTGCAGTAGTGCAGCACAATTTTGTCAGGTTTATTTCGAAATTATGATACTATATAAACTATCTATTGTAACTTTATTCAAAATTAGTGGATAATTCACGACATATGGTGGATATAGACACATTGTAGAATAGCTTAAATTCATGTATGTCGATTTTATTATTCCTTTGCTTACAAGTAAATACGTTTAAATAAAGGCAATTATTTCAATAATCAAAATTTAAAATAAGTAAATTAGTTTATTATAAAAGAAAAATGTTATATGTACATTAATCACTACAATTTGGTTGATATTCTCTCTTATGTGGAGGAAATTTGTGCAGTAATTTTTTTCTCATATTTTCAATCATATAATTTTCAATAAAATAATATTACACGTAAATTGAAAATTTTTAATTCTTTTACAATCATTCATTTTTTTTTTAAAAAAAATACTATTTTTCTCATTATAAATTCAAATAATGGGAGTCAGACGGGTCTAAGAGAGTAAATTGTGACATGTGAAAGAGTGTTTAAAAAAAAAAAAACAAAAATATTGTAAATGAGAGTGTAAGAGTGGCAAGGTCCAATGACTTTTGACCTAGGGCACCTACGATGTCAACTCAATTCTCGGGGCAGTTCTAGACTGTCAAAATCGAATCCATCCTGTTGCTTCTGTTACTTTATTCTTGCTTTTGTCATCTATAAAATATTAAAATATCAATTAAAATTTTAATTCTGTACAAATTAAATTATTTAATAGTTTAGCGATTATTTAATTTGGATTAAAATTTAATTTTAATTTAAATCAAAGTGAAACAATCAATATTAATCACATCGTTCGTATGTCTCACTACTTTTTAACCACACATTTGAAAAACTTCTATCGCAATCTATCAAAAAATCTAGCTCCTCTTTATCATCCTTTGAAAATTTAAATTCTTTACTACTTTACCATTCTGAGGGCTCGGACCCTGCTAGTTGGAGGCACATCCCGCGATTAACTGGACTGTGTGAAGAGGGGTCGGATCACAGACTCAAGGATTAGTCAAGAATTGGACACCTTGTAAAAAAAATAATAAATAAATAAATAAAATATTCTACACACAAATCAATAAAATTTCTTTACTTTTAACCACACGTTCTTCAAAAAAATACTCTTCAATAACTCATTATTTTCAAATAAATTCCATCAAACGGGCTCCTAATTTTAATTCCTACCAAACATCATCTTAGTACAAATGTTTTTTTTTTTTTTTTTTTTTTTTTTTTTTTGTTTGGGAAATTTTTCACCAGTATAAAATATTTATAAAAAATATCTCATTAGTACTATAGTAATTTAAGTCCTTGTTTGAACCCAATTTTTGTCATAAAAATGCATTTTTGAATAGCGTATTAATGTAAAATGTAAATAATTTTATTTAAGATGTTCTCTTCATTGATTATACCACGTTTTGTTGGAGGAAGAAACAAATAAGAGTTCATGGTACATTTGCACTTTCGACTTGCACCAGCCAGATGGTATTCATCTTCCAAAGCTTACAAACCCTAAAATGTAGTTTCTTGTATTGTTCCATGTTTCTTTATGAGGTTTCTTCTTTGCTTGGTGCAATCTGAACAAGGCTTGTAATTCGTTGTCGATATTTTCCTGTAGATCTCATTAGATATCTCAAGAAGGAGGAGAGACGGGCATATCGACATTACTTCATGTGTTTCAAGCATCTTCATATTTCGATTTTTCTTCCAAAATTTTTTTGTCTGGTCTCTGAAGTTGTTTTCATCAATGTGTTTAGCGTTTGTTTGGTACAAATTTTTCAAGTGAAAAAAAAATAAAAAAATCAGTTTGTAATTAATTTTTTTTTTTTTTGAAAGTTGTGGGTACTCTACAAAACAAATCCATAACATACCAAACTAAATATGACGGTACACATATTACAAAGAGCTATTTCATAATTGTAACAAGTCATTTTTGTTCACGACTGATTAGAGAATAATAGGCAATCTTGGTTTGCTTTTATTTACTTTATCACTTCTTTTTTTCCCCCTTTTTTCTCCAATGCCGTTGAATTTGAGAAAGATTACAATACGAAAGTGAAAAACTAAGAAACGACAACATAGAATAGCTAGCAATCATTTGTCGAATTCAATACACTCGTCGCTTTCGTTCTATCATCAATATTTAAAATAAGCTATCTTGGCTTTAAAAACCTTAACTTTCCAAAATTGATACCGGTTAAATCAATGAATGCCTAGCTAACTGATACAACTCGCGTTGACTCCATGGCCCACGCAATTTGTGATGCAAAAATTAAGTTCGCGCTTTTTAATCTCAATTTTTTTTTTTTTAATCAATCTAACAAGTTTACTCTTTCGTGCGAAATTCCTTTTTCCACGTATACCTATTTATAACCATAAAAAAATGTTTATAGAAAGAAAAATCCACTTGTAGCTTGGTGACTCGTCACAAGGTGCCAAGAGGGATTAGAAGTCGAGAAGATCATGACCTTATTCGGTAGACCAACGGCCAAGAATTTCGTAGTGGAAATTCAATATTAAGAGTCCATTTGGTGCACATTTTTGTTGATGAAAATGCATTTTAAACATCATATCGTGGGTCCCCCATTAGAGTGTAGAAGTCAAAAATTGTGTGCTGATGTGACGGAAAAAATACATTTTTGGCTCCAAAAATGCGTACCAAACAGGGGCTAAGTGTTATTTTAGTCATTTTACATTAAAAATATAGCGTTTGCTAGGGTTTCGTGTACGGCTGACTAGTGTCCACCAGCTTCTTTGTTTGGCTCCTTCTCTTCCCATCATATTCTCGTATATAATGCCCTAAAGTCTGCCCACAAAACATACACATAACCGCACACACAATTTCTATCTCTAGAACCTGTGATCACCAAAATCAGTACTGTTTTCTGTTCTCTCTCTAGACTTTTTGTGAAATTTTTTGTGGCTTTTTATTTTTTTTCTTTTGTTAAAGGTTTGATTCCATCGAATAAATTATTGACACACACACCAAGAGTTATACAGTACTGGTGCTTACACAAACTCCACACCTGTCAGTGTCTTTTTCTTGATCTTTTTGAGTAGAAATAATCTGTTTGATGATATGGATCTGAAAGAAGAGAAGGTGAGGAGTATGATGATCATGATTTCTTATGATTTTGATGCTGATTTGTGATCAAATCTTGAATGCTAACTCTAATCTTGTTTTTGTTTCACAGAAACCAGAATCAAAGGAGAAAAACCCTTCAACCCAGATTAAAACTTGTAGTTCATGCCACACTACAAAAACTCCCCTTTGGAGAGGTGGCCCATCCGGCCCTAAGGTAATGGAAAACAACTTATTTTTGAATTTTTTGCCTTTTTTTTATAAGTTTTGAGTTTAAAGTCTTATTTCTTGATATGGGTTTTGCTTTATTGTCAGTCATTGTGTAATGCTTGTGGGATAAAGTACAATAAGAAGAGAAGGCAGCTTCTGGGACTGGAAACTGCACGAACCGGAAAGAAAAAGAAAAGGAACAGCACCGATAAAAGTAATGAAATTAGAGAGATTTTGAAGATGCGATATAGGGCATTTGGAAGTGATGTGATGTTGCAGAGATCAAGAAAACTGATGAGCAAATTGAGAGAAGAAGAGCAAGCGGCTATATTGTTGATGAGTCTCTCCTGTGGCTCTGTCTCCGCTTAGTGCAGTTAGAATAGAAATCGTTGTTTATGATGGCACAATTTTCTAGCAATTGGGAAATCTGAAAGCCATAGGCAAATTTACCCTGCCTACCCCTTTCCTCCCCTCCGGTTATGTCCTTTTAGTTTCCTACTAATTGATTATGTTAACCCTACTTTTATTTTTCTCAGATGATTTATGTATGATTTTAGATTATAAGTATTTGAGGAGTAATGACTAACAATGATTGTTTAATCATGATTTTGGGTGACATTAATACCTATGATTTTCATGTCACTTTCAACTTTCAAGTTCTTTTTATTATGTAATATAGTGCTAAATTCCCTTTACTTTTGAGGAACAATTGGAATGACTTGAGGGAAAGTACTTTTTCAAGAGCAACACACTTAATTGAGCAATTAATTCCAATGTGCCCCTGTATGATTCCATTGTTTTAAAACTCTTTTTTCTACGAGATTATTTTTAGCCATACATTTATGTTATAAATCAAAATTTTTTCGTGTTTTTTTAACCACACATTCTTCCAATACTATTCAAAATTCTTTAAAATGAAAACAATGTCAACTAAACAGGGGCTTAATAGGATGGAAAGTGATTGACTTAGCCTTTGAGAATAAATTATCTGCAATTTGACCGTTGAAAAGTTGATCGTAAGCCTTTGCTTGACAATCATTATTTGAGAAAATTTGAGTTTTGAATAGTGATTTAATGTGTAGTTTAGAAGTAAGGAAAAATTTTCAGTTTATATGCATGCATAATATTTTATGAATTTTGTTGGTTGTACAATTCCGGTTGAAAACATCCTCACAAGAGGGGGTCCACGATTTTTTTTATTCATCGTGAGCTCTCTTCCACGTGTGTGGTTGTCAATCGTGATTGTCAACTCCGGTTGTATATGTAGCAAGGCCTATATTTTATTGTATAAATGTGTAATTGCAAATTAGTATCTAAAAAAAAAAAAAGAATTTGAAAATAATGTTGTCAAACTAAGGCTCAACAACTCCTTTCAAAAGGTTTTCAAATCTAGAAGTCACCTTGAATAAGTCTACGAACTTCTTAAGATTTTGTTTGGTCTCTATTTTCTAAGATTCATTTTCAACCACACATTCTTTTAACAAAATAATTTTACAAGTGAATACATAAATTTTACCTAATTTTTATCTAAACATTCTTTTACAAAAATAAAAAAAAACAATAATAATAAATAATAAATAATTCACTTTTCACAAAATCTATTTTCAACAAATTTCTACCAACATGGGTAAAGATAAAGTCATGAGGCCATAGACGGGTATACATGGGCTCATGTGGGATCAAGTGACCACGCCAAATTTCTTGACCTTTTTTTTAAGTTCTGTAGAGTTGCCATAACCTTATACCTTTACATCATGGTAACTCTCTTTTTCTCTTTCATATTTAGAATACACAACTAAAATAAACTATCCTCCAATCTCTGTTCTTCAATCTAAATAAAACTTTCTTTTCCAATATCTAATATTTATTCTCTATTATTCAATCGGGTATGAAATTTTATAGTTTTAATTTTTATATTTGATTTCCTGATTTTTCTTATTTGACTTTTCTATATTATTATTTATGATTGAGGGTCTAAGACTTTGACGTTGCAATTAATTTTGACAGAATGTTTGAAATTATAGGTTTTGAAATTCTTCCTATGGTTAATGAATTTAAGTAGCAATCCTTATTTTATTTATCACTTTTTTTCAAATTTATGGAAACCCATTGGTGACATATATAGATAAAGTGAAATTCGCTCGATTTGATTGGTTTTATAATTTTATTTAAACGATGTATTTGATAAAATTGATAATGATATAATTATACAACATTTTTAAGGGAGTGTTAGAAAATCATTTTTATGTAAAAATGCATTTTGGAAAAGTGACTTGATGGAAAGTGTGTGGTTGAAATATAAGGAAAAGTTTTTGATTTACGTGTAATATTATTTTAATAAAGAATGTGTGGTTAAAAAGAAGAGAGAGAAAAATGCATTTTAAAAAAAATGGATACAAAACGGGGGCTAAATATGAAAACTCATAAGCTACAATTGCAGCTGCATATTGATTTAGTTTTATTAATATTATGTTGTTTAAAAAAATTACATTTAAGCCCTTATTTGAGCCCCATTTTTTTCATCAGAATACATTCTTCAATAGTGATTTGACTCCACTTCAATTATATATTTTTCAATAAAATAATATTACATTCAAGTTTATGACTTTTTTTTAACCACACATTTTTCATTACTACACTATTCAAAAATATATTTTTTGACAAAAATGAGAATCAAACAATAGCTAAATTTTTTACCACACAATAGAAAACGTCTATCTCCTCCACTACACGAGGCGCTCAATGAACTTCTTTTTATTTAAAATACCTAAAGGCTTTGTGCTGATGTAAACATGATTCTGCCTCAGGGATGACAAAAAAAAAAAAAAAATACGTTCAATCGATACTCGCAGCCCCTTCTCGAATGGAAAAGGGATTACCGCCTAATCAAATAAAGAGGCTATGATGGGGTGGGAGTCGTTGTTCCAAAGCATAAATAGGGTGTGTATGAGAAATATAGTCCCTACCTCCCTACCCATCCCGTTTAAAGTTAATTTTAAATTTAATTGTTTTAACAAACAAAAATAAAAAATATATCATCATCATCATCATCATCTTTAAAGAGAACATGAGTAATTCTTAACAATTTGAAAGGAAAAAAAAATAACAATATTCAATAACTAAATACATGAAAAAATAAATAAAAACCCTGCTTTAATCGGGTATGGAAGTGAGACAATGTTACAAAAATATCCAACGAGACGAGAGTGGGAATGACTGAACCACCCTATACTCGTCCCAATGTCATTCCTATTTTGCCTGGCCGAGGAGAGGGGACGGAGTACGACATTTGGCTTTTTAGCTTTGAGTTAAATTTTAATAGACCTTAAAGATTAAGAATTGATCAAATTAGTCTATTATTTTAGGTTTCGTTTGGAAAGTTTGTGTTGACCACAAAAAGTATTGCCAACAGATGCCAGTCCCACCGCGCACATGTGGACGAATGTCCAACACACTAAGACACGTAGACAGTCTAAAACGAGCGGTTCAAAGGGCGTGGGAGTAGCCCAACGACGTAGGACAGTGACGTTCGGAATCCGACGAGTTGTTCGTGATCCGATAGTACAATAATTACCAACCGGTGTTCGTAAATGTGTATATAAATGTGTATAAAATTGATTTGTGTATTGCAAGTAAGTGAGAGAGAGTTGAGTAAAGTATAGTTCTTTGTATTGATTCTTGCATTAACCTTTTGATGTTACACAAGGGAAGTATTTATAGTGATACATGTGAAATGGAAGCCCTTGGATGAGGTGGCACGTGGCCTCATCTCTTTGATTCAAACATCCCATCCTAGGCATGGGGCTTGACTTGTTAGCTTGCTGCGCATTTATTACTTTGTGTAGGGCCTCCATACTAGTGACAAGACTTGACCTTTATGCTTATGACAAACGTTCCATCAATCATTGGAATAAGATCTTTATGCAGACGATCTCTTGGGAGAAGTGAACATGAAGGACACTCCCTTGTGGTTCGGAAGCTCCTGCATCTGGTTCGGGGCTTCGGCCATTTCACACGATACTTCCGCTTGAGGGCCTCAGCTATCTTCAACTAGCTTCAGCATCATGGCTTCGGTTCATGGGTTTCGGCATGTGGACCTCAGGTACGTTCACAGGTCTCGGCTAGTGGACTTCGGCTTGAAGGGCTTCGGCCATTACCCACCTCGACAATCTATGTCACCTCGACTGGAGTGCCACATAGTTTGCCCTGAGTGGGCCATAATGGCCCAGGTGGATTGGCCAAGTATGACAACATACAACAATAGTCCCCCAAGTCCAAGTATGGTCATTCATGTAATGCGTGGACTTTAATGAAGTAAAAATTGAAAGAATTTTTGAACCCCAAATAATAGTCCCCGAAGTCCAAGTGTAGATATTTATATCAGAGTTGGAATTAGAAATGTGTTGCCGTAGATGAACGATGAAGAGACCGAGGCTGTGTTGATGTTAAAGACGACACTGAGGTCGTTGTAAAATCGAACCTGACTTGTTGGCTGAATGTTGTAATTGAAGCCGAGGTGGTTGGAAAATCGAACATGCGAGGCTTGATGGCTGAATGTTGAAGTTGAAGCTGAGGTGGCTAGGAAACCGAACCTGCGAGGCTTGATGGCTGAATGTTGAAGAAGAAGCCGAGGTGGCTGGGAAACCGAACCTGCGAGGCTTGATGGCTGAATGTTGAAGAAGAAGCCGAGGTGTCTGGGAAACCGAACCTGCGAGGTTTGATGGCTAAATGTTGAAGAAGAAGCCGAGGTGTCTGGGAAACCGAACTGCGAGGCTTGATGGCTGAATGTTGAAGAAGAAGCTGAGGTTCAATGGTAATGATTGTGCCTTGATAGCTGTGCCAATGATTTGATATTTTGTGCTTGTTTTCAAGGAAAATTGGCTGAACCATTACGACTTCCAAGGCGCCAGCTGCCGTCAAATTAAAAATACAATTATGATGGCAGCTGGAGCTTCTAGAAGCAGATGCGTTGGATAGGGCGCGTGGGAGGCATGCTTGAATCTGAGGCGTAGGTTTGAAAAACTGTTTGAATTCAACGCCTCGGATTTGATCAACAATAAAGGGCTCAGATTGACTGAGGTTCGATCTGACTGCTAGGGTTCGTCCTGGACCTCTATAAAAGGTGAGAAAATCCCCTTTTTTTAGGACTTTTGAAACTTTGCAATTTGATTCTCTCTCAAATTTCTGAACTTTTCGGCGTCAAGGCAGCCCGTTTTTTCGATTTTTTGGCTTATATCCGCTCGTAGTGTTCTTCCCTTAGGTATCATTCGCAGGAAAACCTTATTTTTGTTGTGTTAATTCTGTGAGATGGAGTCCATCTCGGGTAGGGAGTTGGTGACGGTGGCGTCGTTAGATTATGGGCTCAGTCAGAGGGGGGATGCGGAGGCTGATAGTTATGCCATGACTGAAGACCCAGTAGACTATACTGAAGAATGGAGGGCGTCTAGGGTGCCCTCAAGTATGACGTGGAAGAGGTTAGGGAAGATCAGGGAGAGATACAGTGTCCCCCACACCATAGAGATGCTAGTTCCCAAACCAAATGAGCGGGCCTGCTTTCCGAAGTCCAGATGCGTGGTTGTCAGTGAATACCTGTTTAAGGCAAGTATGCGTCTTCCTTTGCACCCCTTCTTTAGGGCGGTGCTGAAGAGTTTTATGTTGTCACCGACCCAGGTTCTGCCAAATGGGTGGAGCCAGTTGGTCGGCTCATACTTCTTGTGGAATGAGGTGTTACTTGTGGAGGACATGCCTCTCCATGTATTCATGACTCTTTTCCAGCCCCAGATCATAGGGAAGGAGTCCGGGGGGTGGTATTATCTTACACCTTGGGGGCTCAAGCACCCTTTGTGGTGGGACTGCCTTTCTCCATTAAGGGGTGGAAGGAGTCCTGGTTCTGGGTGCGGGGAAAATGACAGGCAGTGGAGGGGGACAAGGCCCTTTTTTGCACAGTGCCGACCCAGTACTACGAAACTCGTGAGTCTCCCAGCCCCTGCTTGTACTTCTGAATTGAACACTTAGAATATTTCTAACTGTTGGGGCTTCCATTGCAGATTGTAGTACGCGGTTCGAGCTCAGCAGGGAGGAGTTCGAGGTGATAGAGGACATCTACAATAGGCCTCTGAAGCTCCGCCATTTTGACCATTTGATTGACAGGAGTCGCAACTTCCTGGATTTTGGACTGATGGCATCCAGAGGTACGAGGCTCCCATAGTTGTAAATTTCCTTGTCCTTTTGATTGGATACTAATGTGCTGACCTGACGTTCTTTTGCAGATAAATTCAAGAGGAAGAATTACCCAGCTCCAGATATGGCCACAATTCTGAAGGCCACCACCACCGCCAAGGCTAGGGCCTTGAAGCCGGGGTCTAGTGGGGCCAAGGAGGTCCGAGGCAAGGTGGAACACCTTTCCAAGGACAGCACTCCAAAGGCTCCCGAAGAGGGAGCTTCCCAAAGGCAGGAGAGGCCAAAAGAGCCTCGGGGGAAAGAGAAGGTCCCAGAGAAGGCGAAGAGGAGGAAGCTGGTGCACGTTACCAGCTCATCTGGGAAATTTGGGACATCAGTGTCCCATGAGGCTAAATCCACAAGCGAGCCGAAGCTGTTCGCATCTGCCTCCAAAGCCATTAAGATAGAAATGGTCAGGGAGGCTGAGGCTGAGGCTGAGGCTGAGGCTGAGGAGGCTAGGGAGGAGGCCGCGAGGAGGGCTTCTGAGGCTTCCGAGGAAGAGGCAGCTAAACAAAAGCATGTTCGGGAAAAGGGGAAGTCTCCAAGCTTCCTAGCTGGAAGGGAGGAGACCTTGGCCCCAGCCTTGGTGAAAGCTCTTCCTGAGGAGGTTCGAAGTGCCACTGAGAACTTCTACCGGTTCTGGACTGACAGGTGGCAGCTGTATGCCTCCTCCTGCGATGCATCCGACCTGACGAGGGTGTTGGTGAGCCAAAGTGTCAGAACTTTTGACCTCGCTCTTGAATGCAGAGAGGCCCTGAGTGATTTTCAATCAAGGACCAGGTCTTCAGAAGAGAAGACGGCCTCCCTTGCAGAGGAGGTTAAGGCGGTCAAGGTCGAGACGGAGGAAGTCAGGGCCCAAAAACTTGAAGAAATGGCCAAGCTTGAGTCTGCCTTGGCCCAGATTGAGGCCTTGAAGAAGGAAGTTCATGAGTCACAGTGTGAGGTGGCCTCCCTAATAAAGAAGGTGGAGGTCTTCAATGAGCACCAAAAAGTGACTGCTGAGGCCCTGGAGAAGGCCAATCTCTCTTGGTGGGTGCCCAAGAGTCCAACCGGTTCTTGGAAACCCAACTCAAATGGTATGTGGATGATGCGTCCCATGCCAGAGAGGAAGCCCAACTAGCGAGGGAAGAGGCGGTGCAGGAGTATGTTGGCAACTTCCACAACACGGACGAATATAAGAGCTTCAGCGCATACTAGATAAACTTTGCCTATGCTGAGGTGATGGAGCGGGCAGAGGAACTGTATCCCAATTTGGATCTGACTCAACTTAGGTCTGAATTCGTGGATGAGGTACCTCAGACCCCTGCTGAGGATGTGCATGGTAATGAAGCAACTGAGGTAGGGGAGGTAAATGCCGATGCTCAAGCTGCCAAAGCCCCAAGTACAGAAGCACCTCCCCCATCTACCGAAGCTTAGATTGGTTCTCTTTTCAGTATTTTTCGAGTGTAATGGCATGAGGCCCACTTTTGTAATCTCTTTGAAGATTAATATAATGCCTATTTCATTCATCATTGTTTCTTTATCAAGTGTACGCTCCTCGTTTAAACAAATGAACATAAAGGTTGGCAGCACCAACTAAACTCTAGCTTGGTACTTTAACTTCAATTACTTTAAACAACTGGATTGAACCTCGGACTTAAGCGAATGAACCTCAGACATAAGCGAATGAACTTTACAAGCATAATAACCGTTTAAGCCTCGGACATAAGCAAATGAATTTTACTTAAGCAAATGAAATTTAAACAATTGTTTGAGCCTCGGACTTAAGCAAATGAACTTTATTTAAACAAATGAACTTTAAACAATTGTTTGAGCCTCGGACTTTAAGCAAATAAACCTCGAATTTAAGCAAAATAACCGTTTCAGCCTCAAACTTAAGCAAATGAACCTCGGACTTATTGCACGTGAGGTGGCTTCTTCCCTTGGCATTTTGTCTAGCCAAAGGGAGGCATGTGCTATAGCCTCGGAGTTCAATCAAGGTGGCCTAGAGGTGGGCGCGAGCCTCTCCTCCGAGGTGACGAAGCATCCCAGCCACGGTGGGTGGCGCAGCCATGTTGAGGCTTCTTTCCTTGGCGTTTTGTTTATTTTGGCCAAAGGGAGGCATGTGCTAGAGCCCCGGAGTTCAAACGAGGTGACCCAGAGGTGGGACGCGAGCCTCTCCTTTGAGGTGACGAGGTAGTTCAACACGTTAATTTAATCACTGAATTTTATTGAACCATAGAAATGTTACAAGGGCTGGGAAAGGTCGTCCAGCAAGATAGTACATTTATTGATAGTAGATTCTGAGGTGTTCAATGTTCCATGGTTGGGGTTGTGCCTTGCCGTTCATGTCTTCAATCCAGTAAGTCCCAGGTCGGACTTCTTCTCTGATTTTGTATGGACCTTCCCAGTTTGGGCCAAGAGAACCGGAACCAGGTTCTTTTGAGGAAACGAAGACCCTCCTAAGTACAAGGTCGTTGATTCAGAATGACCTCTTCTTGACTTTCGAGTTGAAATACCTTGTCATCTTTCTCTGATATGTGCCGAGCTTCAATTGGGAGTCATCTCTTCTTTCTTCGATGAAGTCGAGGTCGAGCCTCCGGAACTCATCGTTAGTTATCTCGCTGAAGTGCAGACGTCTTGGGGAGGGAAGTCCGACCTCCACGGGGCTCATAGCCTCAGTTCCGAATGCCATGAAGAAGGGTGTTTTTCCTATGGGGGTCCTGGTGGTGGTTCGGATCGCCCAAAGGACTTGGGACAGCTCATCAACCCAGGCCCCTTTTGATATATCCAACTTCCTTTTCAAGACGTGCTTAATCGTCTTGTTCACGGCCTCGACTTGGCCGTTTGCTTGTAGGTGGTGAGGTGTGGAGAAGTACTTCTTTATGTCGAGCTCTTCGCATAATTCTCTAACCTTCTTGTTGTCAAACTATCTGCCATTGTTTGAGACGATTGAGTGGGGAATCCCGAACCGACAAATAATATTTTTCCATAAGAACTTGGAGGTGTTGGCTTCAGTGATTTTTGCCAGTGGTTCGGCTTCGACCCACTTCGTGAAGTAATCAATAGTCACAATTGTAAAATTTGCCCCTCCTCTACCTTTAGGTAGGGGACCTATGAGGTCCACACTCCATTTTGAGAAAGGCCAGGGGCTAGAGACGGTGGTCAGCTCCTGCGATGGTTGTCGCTGCACCGGAGAGAAGCGCTGGCATTTATCACATTTTCGTACAAACTCGAGGGCGTCCCGCTTTAGTGTGGGCCAGTAGTACCCCTGCCTCAATATTTTCTGCGCCAGAGATAGCCCTCCGGAGTGGTTGCCGCATACGCCCTCGTAGACTTCCCTCAATATGAAGGTAGTGTCTTCTCCTCTGACGCACCGTAGGAGTGGGGAGGAGAAGTTTCTCTTGTAGAGAATGTCATCAATGAAGAGGAAGTGGGCTGACCTCCTTTTTAGCTTGTAAGCCTCATTCTTGTCAGTTGGCAGTGCTTGGTCTTTGAGGTACACTACGATTGGTTGCATCCAAGTGAGAGTCCCCGCGACCCACATTACTGTTGGGGCCTCGATCCAAGGTAGGAGGAGGTACTCAATATGTACTACTGTGAGTAGCTCTGAGTCCTTGCTGCTAGCTTTGATAGTGCATCGGCATGCGCATTTTCGATGCGAGGGATCTGGATCAACTCAAACTTTTCGAAGGATGGGATGAGATTTATCACCGTCTTCAGGTAGGAGGCCATCGTTTTGTCTTTGGCTGAGAAGTTACCATTGACTTGGCTAACAACCAGTTGGGAGTCACTACTGATGAGCAGCATCTTTACTTGCATTTCGGTGGCCAGCCTGAGGCCTACAAGAAGTGCCTCATACTCTGCTGCATTATTGGTAGCTTTGAATCCGAACCTCACCGTCGAGGTGAGCTTGTGACCTTCGGGGCTGATGAGAACAACCCCAGCACCGGAGCCAACATCCCCAGCTGACCCATCAACGAAAAGATTCCACGTGGGGGGTTCGATAGGTTCCATAATTTCGTCCACCTCGGGTAGGTTGGCGAATTCAGCCACAAAGTCAACTAAGGCTTGCCCTTTTATGGTTGCCCTAGTCTTGAATACAAGGTCAAATTCACTGAGTTCTACCGCCCATTTCAATAACCTTCCTAAGGCGTCAGGCTTTTGGAGTACCTGCCTCAGGGGAAAATTTTTCAGTACATGGACGGTGTGAGCTTGGAAGTAGGATCTCAATTTCCTAGAGGTCGTGATCAAAGCCAAAGCGAGCTTCTCCATATTGGGGTAACGGGTTTCCGACGATAGGAGCGCTTTACTTGTATAGTACACGGGGAGTTGGGTAGACCCTTCTTCCCGTATCAGAACCGAGCTGATGGCCTCATTGGAGACGGCCAAATATAGTTGTAGGATATCACCAAGCTTAGGTTTGGAAAGGAGGGGGGCTTGCCCCAAGTGTCTTTTCAAGCATTGGAAAGCCTCTTCACATTCTTCGGTCCACTGAAATTTCTTCCCAGCCTTTAGTACTTTGAAAAAGGGGAGGCATTTGTCCGTAGCTTTGGACACAAAGCAGCTAAGTGCGGCCACTCGTCCGGTAAGACTTTGCACCTCCTTCGGCTTTTGGGGGGACCTCATCTTGCACAAAGCTTCAATCTTCTCGGGATTGGCCTCAATTTCCCGTTGGTTGACCATGTACCCCAAGAACTTGCCGGAGGCTACCCCAAAGGCGCACTTGTGGGGGTTGAGCCTCATCCTATATCTTCTTACGATCTGGAAAGTGCTGTTGAGGTGCTTTATGTGGTCTTCAGCCTCCAAACTTTTTACTAGCATGTCATCCACGTAGACCTCCATTGTTTTGCCAATGAGGTCCACAAACATCTTGTTTACGAATCTTTGGTAGGTTGCTCATGCGTTTTTCAACCCGAAGGGCATCATTCTATAACAATAGAGGCCTCGGTCCGTAATGAAAGAGGTGTGCTCTTCATCGATCGGGTGCATGGGGATTTGGTTGTAGCCGGAGTACGCGTCCATGAAGCTCAACAACTCGTGCCCAGCTGTGGAATCCACTAGTTGGTCAATCCTTGAGAGTGAAAAACTATCTTTCGGACAAGCTCTATTGAGGTTGGTGAAGTCAATGCACACCCTCCACTTGCAGTTGTTTTTCCTTACCAAAACCGGGTTGGAGACCCATCTAGGGTAGGTTGCCTCTCGGATGAAGCCGTTTTGGATGAGTTTCTGAACTTCTTCCTTTAGGGCCTCATACCTTTTAGGGTTGAGGGCTCTCCTTTTTTGTTTATGCGGGGCAATCTTGGGATCAATTTTCAGGTGATGGCAGTTGACCTTGGGGTCTATGCCTACCATGTCCTCATGCTTCCAGGCAAAGACATCAAGATTCTTGCTCAGGAAACCCTTAATCTTTTATTTCAGAATGTTGGCTAGGCATTTGCCTACCTTTAGTACCTTTGATGGGTCTCAAGGGTCTACTGAGAAGCTCTCAAGTTCCTCTACTGGAGATGCCTGAGGCTCGTGTTCCATGATGCGGGGGTCAATTTCATCAATGACCAGCGCCTCTGAATTAGGTGGTGCATCGATCATATCAACATCTTCTTGTTCGGTGGGAGCATCACCTAGGACGTCAGCCATGACCACGTCAGCTATGACTACATGGATGTCCCGGGGCTCTGCCTTCTTGATGGAGCTTAGATAGCATTCTCTCGAGCCTCTTTGGTCGCCTCTCATCGTTGCCACCCCATTTTCTGTTGGAAATTTCATGCACAGATGGTGGATGGAGGTGACTGCTGCCACCCCATTTTCTGTTGGAAATTTCATGCACAGATGGTGGATGGAGGTGACTGCTCCCAATTCCTTCAGAGCTAATCTACCCAACACCCCATGGTAGGCCGACCTGCTATCAACAATGAGGAACTCCATGAAGTTCGTCATTGTTCGTGGAGATTCCCCAATCTCTACTGCTAGTGTTATCTTTCCTCTCGGAGTGATGCTATCTCCAGTAAATCCATACAATGGTGTGGTGGTGGGCGTCAGTTGATGATCCAATATCATTTTATCAAAGGCGGATCCGAATAGAATGTTGACGGAGCAGCTTTTGTCAACCAACATTCGTTTGAGCTCATTCCTGGCTATGAC